TTTATTTAAATGTTTTATGTTATTATAATTTTATTCAAATCCATATTTGTTTTTTTGTTCAGAATAAAAAAAATAGACATAATAATCAATATAATAATGATTAAAAATAAATGGTATTTATGTATTTGTCTTAAATAGAGTCAATCTAAACGTACAGATTTATGTTCTCAAGAAAGACAAGCTAACATGTTGTAATGTACATTCACATGCAGAAAATAAAGTCATATTTACCCGAGTTTACCTTCTGGTTAATGAACACCCTGCAGTTATGATCAACTGGACTCGCTCTGTTGGATTCAGAATTCCTGGAAAAAAATATATATTTAAAAATATTAAATTATTTAAATGAAAATAAATATAATCTGTAATATGCATCATAAATTAACAATTATAATTGTGCAGTATGTTAATTTACACTTCGCTTTTAAATTTTACAGTATTGCTGGCAAACAAAATTGCTAGTAATACAGTCAATTTGACAGCATTTTCTTTACATTGCAGACATTAGTAATTGATATTACAGTATAATTCGAGGTTCAACAACAATCTCCTGGTCAATCCTCATATAAAGGATGATTGTTGAGTCTCAGCTTGGACTGAATTTAACCCAACACCTGATGACTGGGGTGTCTGCAACGTGCATTTCTGAACGGATTTATTGAATACAAAATTATTGATGCAGAGTGTTAAATCTGAGCTCTGAACACACACACACACACACACACACACACACACACACACACACACACACACAGAACCCGTTCACCTCAACATACCAGAGCATGTCTCTTGTGTTAGAAGCTTACAAAAAAAAAGAGCATTTATCTCAGCCTCCAATATTTCACTTTAAAGGCAAAACAAAGAACCTGTCTTTTGGCATAAATGTGGATTTACTGAACACACACAAAGGAGCTTGAGAAAAATGTTCATTTCAGAAGAAACTTTCAGATGGCATTCAGAGTTTTTTTAGGGTGATACACTTATTGCCCTCACTGTCCGCTGGATGGCGCTGTTGGATTATACATAGACATGAAGAGTTGAGTTTCCTTTGATTGCTGCACTTGTTTGATTAGGTGGATCACTTTACCAGACAAAGCCTGACTGGATGTCTCTCTGTCTCTCTCTCTCTCTCTCTCTCTCTCTCTCTCTCTGAGCATGTCTCTGTGTGTGATTGGATGAGTGTGTCTGTGTGAGCATGTCAATGTTTATATTTGTGCACATATGTGTGTGTCTGTGTATGTGTGCATTCATGCATGTGTGCGTGTCTATGCGTGTGCGTGGATGTGTGTGGATGTGTATGTGTGTATTCATGCAAGTGTGCATGTCTATGCGTGTGCATGCATGTGTGTGTATGTGTCTGTGTGCATATGTGTGCGAATATGTGTGTGGATGTGTATGTGTGCATACATGCATATGTGTGTCTATGTGTGTGTGCTTATATATATATATATGTGTGTCTGTCTATATGTGTGTGTGTGCTTGTGTTTGTGTGTGAGCATGTCCATGTGTATATGTGTGTGTCTATGTTCTGTGTGTGGATGTGTATGTGTGCATTTATTCATGTGTGTGCGTCTATGTGTGTGCATGGATGTGTGTGTGTGTGTGTGTGTGTGTGTGTGT